TCTGGGAGGGGGCTATAGCCCCTTCAGCCCCCCCCCCCTGCGTGCGCCCCTGGGGGGCGCCGTACTCTCAGCGGCGTTCTGTAGCCCGATGTCCAGGCCCGTATAGAGTCTCGGGCCAATAGTGTCAGCCATCGTTCCTCCGAGGGGAGCTCTGCAAGAAGATTAGAAAAAACCTCGAGCAACCGTTCGACGCGGTCATTTTCCTCCGGGAACGGGACCTTATCAGAGGGAGAGGGGAGTGGTATCCGGTTCTGATACATCAGATCTACACAGCCTCGGTCAATGTTGCGCACGCACCCAGCCATTCAATGTCAGGCGGCCTGATGATCATAGCGCTTGAATCGTGAGCGGTGTCCGATAGTTGTTGGATAGCGGGTTCTTCCGGAAGAACCCGACTCGTTCCATGCAGACGGGAAGTCACAGCTTGCAATCACGAGTCTCGCGGGGAAAATCCGGGTTGAAGCTTCGCGAGCTATAATCTTCTCTCACTCACGCTAATGAGCCTCCACAAAACCACAATAGCTGGTCTCCGTCAAAGTCCAAGCGAAGTCCGTGAGCAGTGAACTTAGAATATTAACGCAAGACCCATGACAGATGATGGCGCACGAGCTCAGACTGGAGGCTCTTGTCCAGAGGGCTCTGCGTGGTGAAAGTGACGATAAACACGAACGACTCGACTCCGGTGCAAACACTGTTCTCATCAGACAAAGTCTTCCCGCATTAATCAACTGATATTTCTACCATTTCGTCTGATCGCTCCAGCGTGCTGTGGAAACCGAAGCAGAGAACTCGTTCTGGATTTGATAAAATACGCTCATCGAATTTCCTTTCATCCAGGTCAAAGATGTTCCGTCCTCGAGTCGTCCGAGGGCTATCGATTTCTGGATTCTCATCGTTTACGGCTTCTTCCTGCTCCACACTCTAGTCTATAGCTACCCGAGGACGCGCAAAGGTGAGCACTCGATTTCGCGCACACCGATAGGTGTCTAATTCTTAGTGCTCCGGAGCTCCTAGCACCGGAATTCCATTGGGAGTTTCTCATGCGATTTGTGTCACTTGGAAGGTCCCCGCATCAGTGACTCGGACTCTGATCGAACTGCGCACAAGGAACGCTTCTGCGAGACACTGGAAAAACACATGTCTGCGATCTTCTACGGAACTGCATTCGCCTCCATCGCCTCATATTTTATTCTTCTCCGAATCCTCCCGAGGTTCGAGAAGTCATGAATTTGAATACATCGAAGGAGATCGAGCTTTGAAAACCGTGTTTCTCATAGAATTCCTCGGACTCACTCACTGGAGCGCGACGGAATGAGCAATCGATGAACTTCCATTCACATCGAGAGTAAAGTGGGCGAGCATCCAAGTTATCGAGGGAGAACCCGATACGCGAAAACAGCGAACAATCTCGTCGAATTATCGACCGAACGTCGAGAATGAGACCACCTGAAAAGAGAGAACCTCGCACGGGACAGATTGACGGTCGAGTGGTCGCAGCCGCGAGCATTTTGGAAATAGGTTGGCTGAAAGGCCAAAAAATGTAACTTTGAGGAGCCTGGCGTCGGATCGACTGCTACCAGCAAGCTCACTCAGCCGAGCAAAATCTCGGGAATGACGTTCCCCGAATCTACGGAGCTGTGCCCGCCCCGCGGAAAATACCCCCATAGATCGTCTGCGAAATTCCGCGACTCGCTCACCGAGTGCGTCACCCTGCCGGCGCAGCTCCTTAAAGCCGAGAAAGCACTTAGGGAGAATGGAAGTGATGCCTGAACGACGCGTGACGTTCATTTGCTCGTCAGCACGACGAGGCACTCAAATAAGCGCCTAAAGCTGACGGGGGAAAGTGCGGCTTGCTCCGGAAGAACAATACTTTCCCCAGATATGTAAGCGAGTCCGAGAGTTATATTCCGCTTTCCGAGAGCTCGGGAGCGCTTGTTCAAATGGAAAAAGGATGTTAGGAAGCCGTCTCCACGCACATACAGGAAATACAAGCACTCCCATTAGATCATTCAGACACACTCCCTCAGAACACACGATTTCCGTGCCAAGAGAATGCTGTCATGAATCGCCTGGGGATGAGCGATGAAGTCAACAGTTTTTGGATCCATGCTCCAGCCAGACGTCACCCTAATCTTTCGCAGATCGGCACCTTTCACCATAATTCGCGCATGATTCCTGCTCGGAATACTCGTCGTTCGCATCCCGAGTCTCGCATCGCCCTCTGCCCCCGATGACAAAGTAACTTGCCGCAGCTGGACACCGTCTTCTGCGACAGTCTAGAGAAGTCCAGATCGGATCGGCCGAGACGCAGTTGAGTGGCGAGCGATGAGCTCCAACAAGAGTAGAGATTACAGTCGTCTCAGTCGCTCTCGATCGCAGTTTGCGAAAGATTTATCCCAATGCTGCTCCTGGTTCACGTGAGCTCCTCGGGGATCGTTGCTTCTATTCGATTCTATCAGAAACAATCTGTCAGCGGCAGCGACGACGAAGGGAACGCTGTAGGAGAGGCGAATCTTTTCTCACAGAGGGAGATAGTGTGAGCCTGCGGTGGAAATGGAAATCCACTCAGAGCGAACGCCGGCGCGCGATCGCCGCCCGGAGCAGCTGCTGCCGTGTTGTCGTAGCTGCGCTCCTCGCTTGTTCGCTCGTTTGTCTGTCTGTTGGTGTGTTTGGGAAGACGCCTCCTCATTGTGATGTACTCCGCAGCGCGAAACGTGGAATCCTAGCGCGTCTGGGCTTCATAAAAGGCGGGCACGAGAGGAGAGCGGCTGGTTGTTCTCATCTGCAGGTGTCGCTGCCTGAGCTTTTTTCTTTCCTGTGAGGCTTCCGGGAAAAGATTGCGAATAATTCCAGAAAATGCAAGCATGAGCGCGTGCTTTTTGCCGGCCACTCAACTCCTCTCTGTCTTCCTTGTGATGCGGCTTCGCCTGTCGCATGGCCTCTCGATGACAACGACGATCTTCCTATGCGTTTTAATCTAGGGACGAGCTGGTTTCTCCTCGGAGACGGATGCCCATTCGAACGTGCTTGTCGGAGGTCGGAGCCTGATATTCCGTCGCCCCCGCTTGTCAGATTCGACACGAGGAACATTGGGGTCGAGTGCGACGACAACTGGTGTCTGATGATCCCATGTATGCATTCCGCTTAAGAGCCTCTGAGGATCATCCCCTGTCGCTTTTGGCGATAGTAGCTTCGTCGATTCTCGACGTCTATCAATTCTCCGTATCCATAATTTCCATGAATCCAATGCCCAGTCTCACGACCAGCGGACTCTCCTCAATGCTGGATATTGATCTCTAACTGCCCACGTTCTCGACAATCGCAATGATTTCTCAAGAAGCCCTGGAGGTCCTTGAACGAGCTACCGAGGACGTCTCCGTCGCGAGATGCTCGATTGTCTTCCAGCCTCTCCTGAATTGCCTGTCGACCTGAATCGTGCAACGTGGTACCATCAGATGCGCGTCATTCTCCGCGGGGGTAAGTGCGTTTATCGGGAACTGCGGTGGTTCGCAGAAACGATGACGTATCGAGGGGCATGGGACTCCTCCGAAGAAGGGTTATTCGAGGAGGACTACGTTTTTCGCTTTCGGGTCGACTTCTCATTCATCAAGTTTCTTGTCAATCGTCATCGTGGTGCCAGACCCAAAAAGTGGTCGGAAGAGGTTCGTCTCGCACCCAGCTTCCCACAGAGGACTTGAGTAGAGTTTGAGCGGAATCGTTGCACGATTCCAGTGTACCTGTTCGGAAGGTGTAGATTCGGTTCAGACAAATATGAAACTGAATCATCAGACCGCAAAAGCGGACAGGATATTCCTCAATCGAACTCACGTTTACGGGGAGATACCCTTCAGTCCTTACGAAGGCGTTTTAGGTGAAAAGGCAAGTCCCTGGTTTCGAATATCTTCTTGTGGATTATAATTATCTTCATTGCAATTGGATCATTGCCATTCGTCGAGCGCTCCGTGTCTCAAGCAGGAGCTTGCGAGGGCAGCGACCGGCGAGCCGGAGAATTAGAATTCCCCACTGTCATAGGGACTAGAGGCATTCCTGCCTGGCTAGAGCATTCACGACAGGCCGAGTTGGCAGAGAGGCGATATTCCATGCGAGCATGATTCTTTATTTTCCGTAGCTGAGCGGAGCCGGAATATCCCCCTCCCGAAGACTCTCATCGAATATTTATCTCATCACAAAGCCGCAGTTGACGCCTCATAACGCAGGAGGAGGCTTTAGCTGGCTGTCCGCGAGCTGACCGAGAGTGAGGGTAAAGATCATCAAGCGGAGGTGGTAAATTTGTCACCAGCTGTTTGTGTAAAAAGTCCGACGAACAGGATCCAGCGAGGCTTCCCGACCGAGAACAAACGAGCCGGACTGAGGGAGCTCGAGATTTCTGACTGAGCGGAGTCGGTAACGCGAAGATCCTCGCTCGCTATGGCGTCATCGTAGACGAGGCGCAGTGTGAGACGAGGCGAGACGACGGAGCGGAGCAGACGAGGCCGCGCCGAACGGAAGGAATGTCCGCTACCGGGAACCCGTGGGGCAAGAAATAAAGGACAACAACAGGGCAGACCCACCGGCGAGCGGAGACAATGCGAATGGGACGACAGACTTTTGGTCTCGAACCCCTTTCACATCTCAGCGGGAACTCTCGCCCGGCAACCTCCCGGCCGGTCGGCCAACCGACCCACCAAGCAACCAACGAGCCAGCGCAGGAGGCCGTTAAGCGACTCATGCGATGGCCTGTGTGAAAAAAAGAGCACTTATATGCATGCATATGAGCAGCAGCAGCAGCAGCAGCAGCGAGGAGACGGAGACGACATTCTCATGTTAATACCTCCACCACAAATTCTTATTTCCTCTAATCAAGATCTACAACACGTGCATGACCGCCGAGTGGTAAATATTTCCATCATGATGGACGGTCGACGGCGAACCGGAACCAGAATCAGTCCATCGGGCTACGTGATTCAGTTAAGCAAGCGGCTATCCTCCGCTCTAACTAACTTAATCGGCTTCGCGTCAACGACTTATGGTATCCTCGGTGGGCTTCTTTCGAGTGACCCGGGCTTATGAATTCTTGCTCCGAGCCAGACCGACAGGTACGGGCGCAATGAGACGAGGGAGGAAGACGTCATGACGATGGAAACGTCGCCGACGAAGAGAATACGCCATGGATGAGGATTTCATTTCTGGATGAATCCAGGGATTACGGCCGGCGGCGCAGAGCTCCCCCCCCCCAGCTGCGACGGAATGGCAATTCGCTTCATGGAGACTGGCTCAGTGTATGTACCTACCTATATCCCGCCGAAGTTCGACTGTCATGAACTCCGTGCCTCGGGAATCGGAACTATTTGAAACTTCTCCGTAACGACAAAGCTTGTGTCGGCACTTCGAACTTCCGTGTAATCCCGGGAGTTGCTCGAATATGGATCGTGATGATCGAGATACGCTTTCGTCGAGCTGTAGCAGACGAATAGCTCGACGACGAAAGGCTTCTCTGAGCTACCTGTCTGCGCTCTCCGGAACGCAAGCGAGCCTGGTGACATACCTGACGCAAACGGCGATTCGGCCAACCAAACACGGAGCGACTGAAGCGTGGCTCTCTGCGGCGGCCCAGCGTTATTGCGTCGCAATATCGCTCCTCAAGCCACGGGTGGAGCTACCAGGTATTAAAATCTTCCCTGGAACGTCTTCTCTACGGAGAGCTGCGCTACGCCACGGCAGATAGCTCAGAATCTGCCAAAAACCTTAGATCCGGGTCGTCCGTGGACGCTCACGAGCTAACGGGATGGCATTTGAGTCGTCCCTGGGGCCGCCATTCGCGCGTATGCGACCGGGTCGGCATCAGGAGAATCGAAGCACAAAGAAACGGAAGAGTTAGCGCCGAGGGTTTCGGAGCCAAACTCAAATTTCGTTCTCCAAGTTTTTCTCGCTTTCGAGACGACGTCGACGTGG